CAATTGGACATACTCAATGTAGTCCTCAACTCCAGGCAATAACAACATCCCACGAAAGAGGAACTTATGACAGTTGGCACTGTTTCGGGCAGGGATTTTAGTAAAGATGGCCTCACAAAGAGGGCCCATAACGAACAAACCTCAATACATGTTTGCCTTTGGGGTTCCACTTTAACCTGAAGAGTAAGCATGTCATCATCGTTGTCATCAACACTTGCTTCCAGAATGGACTGGCCAAACACCTCGAGACTGGACTTCTGAAACACTGGCAACTGTCTTCCAAAACTGGGGAAGTAAGGTTTCTAAATACCCTTCTCAGGCCTGTTTTAAAGGGACACCAACTTCCATTTTCTTGAGGCCCCTGGAAAAAACCGCACATAATTCTAGTAGTGATAGATTCCCTTTAAAACCAACAAGGGAACATAGAAGCATACCCCCTATTTAAAGACCCATTTGTTGGGGGGTATGATGTCGACCCTCTGCTAAAAAAGGGATCGGTATGTACCGTGGAAACCCAGGTTTTTCAAAAAACAAACCTTGAAAAAAGCGGGTGTTTGGAGTAAGGGGTCTTCTTTTCAGAAATGGAAGAACCGGTCGAGTCTTCACACCTCCCGTACTCGGCACGCGGCACACTGCTTGGCCATATGCTCGACCTGGAAAAAAACGAGAACGGAGCCATCGAAGTCTCAACGCTGCCCGTTTTCCTTTTTCCCCCGCTAGTGACGAACTTTTGGTGGGTGAAATTCGCAAATCCCCACTACATACTATAAGGCTAAAGAGCTAAGGGACCGGATGGCTGGCTTCGCCACCAAGTCAAGGGACAGTGTTTTAATCTCTAAGATGGTGCCCACTAGCCCCAGGAGTTGGTTTCATGCCAGCAAAAGGCCACAAAAGAGCCGCTAGATCGAGACGATCTGGGTATGGGTCAAACTGAAACCACCAGACTAACCACAGTTTAGTCCATGTTTCCATTTACCAGGGCAAGCCTTTTGGGGTATCTTTTGACCCACAGCTACATAAAGGGAATCTCCTCCAATTAGGGTTCGTGGTTTGGGGGTACGAGAGCAAGCCATCTTCGATGTGCCTCATCGTCACAGGCCACCTTTCGGACAAGAAAAAATGCAGGGCTTTTTTCCGGAAATGGAAGAACACCCAATCGAATTCAGTGCCATCTGTTTCTAAGCAAAGTAGCTTACAAAGGACACTTATACTCATGCGGACCGCGTTTTGGTGACTTGGTTGTTGGGGTGATGCTTAAAGAGTAAATCTTGGTATTTGGTTGGGTGTTTGGCTGACTTAGTAAGTTACTTATATAGGTCCTCCTAAGTGGACTTGGCGCTGTCATTGGGTTTTTTCACCCAGGTGGCTACACCTGACTCGGCGAATCGAACATCCAATTAACCGTGTTTTGGGTTGCTATGGCTGACGTTCGCGATGGCTTCTAAGATTTTGTATTACACTCTGGGAATACGGCACATTTCCGGCTAAAACCGTGTTATTTTGCACCATTCCAGTGGTCATGTCCCAAGGGTGTAATCCCAGGGTGTAATACACAAACCCTCAGATGGCTCATGAACTTCATCCACAAAACCCGAAAGCCCTTGACACTTCCACACTCCCAACAAGGCTCTTCCAAAAAGACGTAGGAAAGGATCCAAGCGCTGAAATCTTGGTTGCTGTAACAACCCCTCTGCAAAAAGTCTCACTGTTTGTTGGGTTTACTGGAAATTCGTGAATTCCCAAAAAGTCAGAGTCTAAAGATCAAACCCAATAGCAACGAAGAAATGACGAAGAAATCCGCCAACAAACAGTTTAGTCAGTTTGCCATCTGAACAGGAAAGTGTCTGAGGTGTATCCACTAATTCTCCAGATATTGGTGATTGACGTGTCGAGTGCCCTTTAACCATAGTCGCACGATACACACGACTGGCATTACAAGGAGCCTGCCCAAAACCATGTAAGCCATTGCAAGGGACATGCGCAGCTGTTCATGGCTGTCCCTTCTGTCACCCGGGTTTCGATGGCTCAATGATAGGAGTCCTGGCCATTAAAAGAATGGCCTTGGGAACCAATTTAGATGGCACCGTCGGAATGGCCTTGGGAATGTAGATGGCATAGGCAAACAATGGTTCTATCAACCCAATTGTCTTAATGGTGGCCTGAACCCCAGGAGTTTCACTGTTTGCTCCGGGTTCCTTGAGCGTTTCCGGGGCTTTGAGGACCATCACCGAAGCAAAACGCGGAACATGGTGATCCAACCGATTGCTATCGGCGCTCTCTGACGCCGCAAAAAGAAGGGGCGAACCCTTTTCCTTGTCGCTTCCACAGGGATCCTTACATTATACACCTAAACATTGCAACTTGTAAATGGTGGTCTCCAACTTTATTTTGGTGTTGAAAAAGCCTGTTTCAACTGGTTGCAAAATGGAGATCTTTTAAGGAGCCTTGGTCCACCTCCGAAATAGCGGCTGAAATGGGTACCCGAAAAAGGGGGAGAAGGGGGGGCGGGAACAAAAAGACTCCCAATGGTTGCTGGAAAGGCTCTGGCCCTTTTAAATGACCCACCGGAAAAAAAAAGAGAAAGGAAACAACAAAATCAAGAAAGAAGGAAACGCGACTGCGCGCCTCGCTGTTGCTGCTCTTGACTCCATGCATGATGAAGGACCTGCGAAAAAGCAAAGTGCCACAGTGCCGCACACCCCAAGGTCGGCTTTTCTCGCTCACAAGAAGCTTCACAAGGAAAACCCACAGGTCTCGCACCCCACAAAACCTTGCGAATAACACACCTACGCGGTTGGGATCGAAAGTTGCGAAACACTGAAACTCATGCTTGGAAAATGTTATGCTGGGGAAAACAAAAAACAACTAAGCAGCTCCGGTAAAAGAGAAGAACTGGCCAATAGAAATCAGATACAGGAGTATCTGCAGGACATTGGCCACATACAACAGTACTCTTCTGTACCTGGAGTCTCCATGACCCTTTAAAATTGGGTCATTACCCAAAATAAGAGGGTCATGGACCCATTTTTTAAGGATCATGGAGACTCCAGGTAGCTGATTTCTTATTCTGCAGTATTCTTTCGCTTACCCTCTCTCCCACTAACATGGCACCAGGGCGTCCCTCCAAGACTTTGATCTTCCAGGTGCCCTCCCGGTGCCATGTGAGTTGGAGGCCCTTACAACCAATACCCGCTTTTTTAGTTGGTATCATGTCAACCCTCTACTAAAAAAGGAGGTGTTCACCTTGAAAAGCCGAAACCGGCTTTCCAAAAAGTACCCTAGAAAAAAGTGGGTATTTGGAGTAGGGGGTACATTTCAGTTTAAGCCTTGAAGGGCGCTCTCGTCGCAAAACAGTTTGGAGGGTTGGGTCCAGGCAAAGACCACACTTCGATGGCCACACATGGGTATGTTTATATATATATATATATATACGTGGAGCGTTCATATTTGCAGCCCCCCCCCCTAGCCATTTTACCAACAAAAAGACGCAAAGCCTAAAAACCATGGAGCCAGTGAAGTTCCTGGGTGTAGAAACTGATGGAAACTTGGACTTCCTGTTGCAAAGGGAGTTGTTGTGGCCCACGCCCCTCTTACTCAGGGAGGTCTCTCAAACACAAGAACTAGAAACCGATTTGGATGTGGCGAATCTGTGGAGCCATCCCTGGATATTAAAAGAGTATTAAACGATTGCTAAAGAAAAACTGGGGCAAAGTGACATCCACACAAAGCCTCTGCAAACCGTTTTCTAGAGAACTTAGGTCATGATGTTGATTGTTTCTGAGGGTTGTCAAAGTCAGACACTGGAATCGGTAGTTGCCCTTTAACCTACGACTGAACGGGGGTGCCTTTGATAGTGAAACAATGGGGCTGGCAAGAATGCCCGGCCCTGTTCTCATGGGGGCTGCGGGGGAGGGAGGGGAGGGCCATGCAATTCCGAGGCATTACCCATTCTGGATAAACGGATTGGGGACCAGAAACCAATTGCCTGGTACTCTTGGCTGTTCACATGAGTCAAGTTCACATACCCCCTACTCCAAATACCCAAGTTTTTTAGGGTATGTTTGGAAAACCCTAGGTTTCCGTGGCAAATACCTCCTTTTTTAGTAGAGGGTCGACATCATACCCTAGAAAAAGAGGGTATTTGGAGTAGGGGGTATGCTGTTCCTTCCATGACATTGGGAAATGTGTCCCCTCCTGATTCTGGGGCGAAGCTTGCCGTTGCTTATATAAGTGTGGACAAAACATAGCAATATGCCCGGTTACGAAATCCTTGAAACACGAAGAGGCTGACTCAATAGCAATAGCCCAACAAGGCATCCACTCTCAAACACCTCGTTTTGGGGACTCCTTCTCACTTCATTTCAGCACATGGTGATCAAAGGGACAAGCAAAGGAAGCCAAAAGGTCCGGCTGCAGTCCGGATCCGCACCTCGTTGACTTACGTGAAGAGGCGAAATGCCACATATTCTGAGAACTGGGCTGTTCCCAGATTTCCTGCTAGTTCAACTTTTCCTCCCATTCAGACCACCTACCGCTGGCATCAGCAGTTGCCCTTTTTACCATTGACCACTTTTCCATATCTCTGGGTTTTTTAGTGGTTTAGTGGTTTAGATACTACAACCGCAAACCAAAACAAAACCAGCCGCGAACCGGATGGCTGGGAACCATAGCGAACGGGTTCCAAGAGAAGTGCTTTTTGCGTTTCTCGCGTCTGGAGCTAACCAGCGACTTCCCTGAACCGAGTTGAAGCGAGGGGATTTACCTCGGATTCCCATTGGGTCGTTTCTGTTGAAGCTGATTTCGACTGGAACGTCATTGGGAACTCTTCGATTGAGCCGCTTTGATGTAATTAAGTGGGCCGGCACTAAAGATGTTGACACGTTGGTATTGTCATATGTGTCTTTTCTGGAGTGCGATACGAAGAGTGGAACTGTTGACAGGTCCAGATTCAAAAATTGCAGCAAAAGCAATGCCAGTTGCTTGGATGTGTTGGACATTCCTCAGCTGCTCGTGCACCGGACCTGGCTGCTGTCTGCGCCTTCTTCTGGATCACCCCAGGTCACAACAGCGCCAGATTCAAGAATGGCAGCGAAAGCCCGGTGAGTTGCTTGGATGTGCTGGACGTTACTCAGCTGCTCTTGCACCTGGCTGCTGTCTCCGCCTAGCTCTGGATGACCCCAGGTCACGACAGATCCAGATTCAAGAATGGCAGCAAAAGCACCGCCAGTTGCTTGGATGTGCTGGGCACTCCTCAGCTGCTCTTGCACCTGGCTGCTGTCTCCGCCTTCTTCTGGATCACCCCAGGTCACAACAGCGCCAGATTCAAGAATGGCAGCGAAAGCCCGGTGAGTTGCTTGGATGTGCTGGACGTTACTCAGCTGCTCTTGCACCTGGCTGCTGTCTCCGCCTAGCTCTGGATGACCCCAGGTCACGACAGATCCAGATTCAAGGATCGCAGCAAATGCTCCACTAGCAGTTGCTTGGATGCGCTGGACGTGTGTCAGCTGCTCTTGCACCTTGCTGCTGTCTCCGCCATAGGATGGACTACCCCAGGTGACAACAGCTCCAGATGCAAGAATGGCAGCAAAAGCACCATAAGTTGCTTGGATGTGCTGGACGTTCCTCAGCTGCTCTTGCACCTGGCTGCTGTCTCCGCCGAGAACTGGATGACCCCAGGTCACCACTCCCCCAGATTCAAGAATGGCAGCAAAAGCACAGTGGTTTGCTTGGATGTGCTGGACGTTCCTCAGCTGCTCTTGCACCTGGCTGCTGTGTCCGCCTTCTTCTGGATCACCCCAGGTCACAACAGCTCCAGATGCAAGAATGGCAGCGAAAGCCCAGTCAGTTGCTTGGATGTGCTGGACGCTCTGCAGCTGCTCTTGCACCTGGCTGCTTTCCGCGCCGTGGTCTGGATTACCCCAGGTCACAACAGCGCCAGATTCAAGAATGGCAGCGAAAGCCCGGTGAGCTGCTTGGATGTGCTGGACGTTCTGCAGCTGCTCTTGCACCTGGCTGCTGTCTCCGCCCCATTCTGGATCGCCCCAGGTCACAACAGCCCCAGATGCAAGAATGGCAGCAAAAGCAGCAGAATTTGCTTGAATGTGCTGGACGTTTGTCAGCTGCTCTTGCACCTGGCTGCTGTCTCCGCCCCATTCTGGATCACCCCAGGTCACAACCTCGTCACCATGGCCATGCAAAGCAAACGCCGGTTTAGTGGCAGCCAGTTTGCCGAGCTGCACAACCGCAGTCACCACATCCCCATTTTGCAAGCCAGCCTGACTCAGCGTGGCTGTCAAATCGAGTTGACGGCCTTTCGCAACCAGCTTCAAGCCTAGGCTGGAATTAGGACCCCAGCAAATATATATACATATATATATATGGTCACCCCCCCCCCCAGGGCCTACCTTTCTACTTTTTGCATGAAAGAGATTTTCTTGCAGATGTTCAGTGTCCACTTGGTTTGCAGATGCCTTGCAGAAAGCACTGTAATTTACGGTGTTTTTGTGCAATTTTTGATATTGTCTCAGATGTGCTTTCTGTACTTGATGCAAAACAGGATTCGAGAAAGCAACAAACACGAAAACGGAAAGCGTTTTCAGATGCAACTTTGTCAGTTGTGAAATCACTGTTATTTGCAGTGTTTTTAAAGGAAACTGCAAAACAACACCTTTTTTTTAACGTTTTTTGATGGTTTCAGCCTCAAAACCTGCACAGGCTCAAAAAAATGCAAAAACAAAACCAAACCTGGAAGCTCCAAAACCTGCACAGGCTCAAACAAATGCAAAACATGCAAAACCCAGATGCAATGTTAGAGGTCAGGGCTTGATTGGTCTGGATGTTGCATTTTTTGCATTTGTTTGAGCCTGTGCAGGTTTTGGAGCCTTGGGTGCTTAAAACCCGCACAGGCTCAAAAAATGCAAAAAATCCAAACCTGGAAGCTCCAAAACCTGCACAGGCTCAAAAGAATGCAAAAAATGCATATATATATATATATATTTGCATTTTTTGCATTTGTTTGAGCCTGTGCAGGTTTTGAAGCCTTCGGTGCTTAAAACCTGCACAGGCTCAAACAAATGCAAAACATCCAAACCTGGAAGCTCCAAAACCTGCACAGGCTCAAAACAATGCAAAAAATGCAAAACCCAGATGCAAGTCAGAGGTCAGGGCTTGATTGGTCTGGATTTTTGCAGTTTTTGCATTTTTTGAGCCTGTGCAGGTTTTGAGGCTTCCTGGTTTGGATTTTTTGCATTTTTGTTGAGCCTGTGCAGGTTTTGGAGCCTTGGGTGCTTAAAACCTGCACAGGCTCAAAAAATGCAAAACATCCAAACCTGGACGCTCCAAAACCTGCACAGGCTCAACAAAATGCAAAAAATGCAAAACCCAGATGCAAGTCAGAGGTCAGGGCTTGATTGGTCTGGATTTTTGCATTTTTTGCATTTGTTTGAGCCTGTGCAGGTTTTGGAGCCTTCGGTGCTTAAAACCTGCACAGGCTCAAAAAAATGCAAAAAATCCAAACCTGGAAGCTCCAAAACCTGCACAGGCAAAAAATGCAAAACCCAGATGCAAGTCAGAGGTCAGGGCTTGATTGGTCTGGATTTTTGCAGTTTTTGCATTTTTTTGAGCCTGTGCAGGTTTTGAGGCTTCCTGGTTTGGATTTTTTGCATTTTTTTGAGCCGTGCAGGTTTTGGAGCCTTGGGTGCTTAAAACCTGCACAGGCTCAAAAAATGCAAAACATCCAAACCTGGACGCTCCAAAACCTGCACAGGCTCAACAAAATGCAAAAAATGCAAAACCCAGATGTCAGAGGTCAGGGCTTGATTGGTCTGGATTTTTGCATTTTTTGCATTTGTTTGAGCCTGTGCAGGTTTTGGAGCCTTGGGTGCTTAAAACCTGCACAGGCTCAAAAAAATGCAAAAAATCCAAACCTGGAAGCTCCAAAACCTGCACAGGCTCAAAAAAATGCAAAAAATGCAAAACCCAGATGCAAGTCAGAGGTCAGGGCTTGATTGGTCTGGATTTTTGCATTTTGCATTTTTTTGAGCCTGTGCAGGTTTTGAGGCTTCCTGGTTTGGATTTTTTGCATTTTTTTGAGCCTGTGCAGGTTTTGGAGCCTGGGTGCTTAAAACCTGCACAGGCTCAAAAAAATGCAAAAAATCCAAACCTGGAAGCTCCAAAACCTGCACAGGCTCAAAACAAAAAAAATGCAAAACCCAGATGCAAGTCAGAGGTCAGGGCTTGATTGGTCTGGATTGTTGTATTTTTTGCATTTTTTTGAGCCTGTGGCCAGCTTTGATGCCATTGAGAAACCAAGCCATTGAGGTAATGAGTGCTCTACTGATAAATCAGATGCTTACAGGACAGCCTTTGATATAACAGTGCAGCAGTGATGACACACACACACACAATCATCAACCTTTTAGGACCACATGCCCAAACCACATCAAACAAGGCCTCAAATGAGTGTCCTTTTTTTCCCAAACAACAGTCTCCACTTGCTACGCAATAAGCCTACAGAAGGTTTATAAACTTTCAGGAAAGTTTATAAACCTTATTGAGTGTTTGACGAGTTTCCCGCGTCAAGGCAACAACACCCTACGAAGTGTTCATGGTATCGTTGAAGGATGGGGGGGGGGGTTGGTTGGAAGTCTTAGCAGTGAGGTGTGACTCAGCCAACTTTGTAAAGACTTCTCAGTACCCCCCCCCCCCTCCCCCCCCTGCCCTTGTTGCAAGGCAACCGTCAAACCCTTGACATGGTTTATAAACTGTCTTGAAAGTATATAAACTCTTTGCTGTTGTTACTCAACATGACTTGTCACCCACAAACAAATATGCAGCAACAGCACACTTCTTGCGTATATATGCTCACACCCCCTGTCCTTAAAATAAGAGGGTTTTGTACATTTTGAAGTGGAAAGGTAGGCCCTGGGGGGGGGGGTGAGCATATATATATATATATATATCTTTTGCCTGGTGAGTGGAAAACAAAGGGACCAACCAAAAAAGCAAAACCAAAACAAAAAGGGGATCGAATTCTGGGGAAGCAGCGGCGCTGGAAATGCTTCTGTGCTGCAGCCTTCAGCTCGCTGATGGGCGTCTCCGGCGAGGCGGCCACGGAGCAATTATCACCGCTGGGCAAGTGGACATCCACTTGCATGGCGCAGGGAGATTCTCTTCCATTCGGTTTAGGCCCCAGGAAAAAAAAACAAAACAAGTAGTCGGTTATTTTTTTCTTAAGTAGTGATGAATTAATTCCTTCCAAGAAGGGGAACAAAAAAACAAGTATTCTTTTCAGCAAATGGAGGTTCTTCTGTGTGCGGGTGTGTTCCGGTTGCCCCATAAAAACACTGAGGCTTTTTTTTTGGGGGGGGGGAAGGGGGGGCGATTGTGACTGGCTGTTCCAAGCATCGAGGCTTCAACTCGGACACAATGCACAAAGTGAGCCGCCATGGGTCTTGATTGAACCATCCCAGCAGTGAGGATCCTGCTTCAAGTATCTAAGCTCAGTCGCAAGGACCCAGGAATAAAAGGTGATCACCTTCGGGGGAAAACCAAAAGGTTAAAGGTCGATTCGCTTTGGGCAACTGAGTAAGTGATTCTACCCAACACTTTGCGGAAGTTCTTGAGCTTTTTTGTCGTCCAATCGAGGGATGAATTGGCAGCAATCCGCTTGCGACTGGACCCCCGACACACACAACTCACTTTGTTCAGGGTATCATGTCAACCCTTTTCTGACAAAGGTACTTAAGTGCCTGAAAAGCCAGCCCTTTCAAAACACACAAAAAAAACAGAAGCGGGTACCCCCTACTCCAAGTACCCACTTTTCCTATTGTATCTTTTGAAAATCCGATCGGGTTTCCATGGTAAGTACCGATCCCTTTTTAGTAGAGGCTCGGCATGATACCCTACATCTCTACTCTTGGTATGGTAGCAAAAAACTTTGTTTTTTGCAGACCACCAGTAAAACTGAACAGAACCAAACAAAAACAAAAAACAAAAACATGCCAAGAACAGTGAAGCTTAAAAAAGGATACCGGGTATTTGCCGTAGAGGGCACCGGAAGCATGGTTTTTCTGTCACGGAAAAGATCGGTGCGTTCCGTCCAATTGGCACTGTCCAAGCAGCGTCTGCTCAACGAAAGTGCCAACCCCCAGAAGAAGCTCAAGTCAAATTGGCCCAAATGGGTGAGTGTCAAAATCGGGGACCCTGGTTTCCCCTGGTTTCACTTGAAACCAACCGCAAAAAGGGTATCTGCAGGAAAACGCCAAGTGTAGGCGTGATATTACTTGAGGGTTGATCTCTGCCTTTCGGATCCTGGACAGATTTGTAGTTGTACTTCCGAAACCGACACATTTCGACTTATACCGCACAATACTCACAGAAGCCAGCAGCACATCCTACGGGAAATGTTCGCCGACCCGGCAAACCCCCTTGCCATTTTCAACACTATCTGGCTGTGGCTCAAAAATCCGGTACCAAAATTGAACCCTCGTAAGTGGAAACATAGACCAAAACCTGCGCATGCGTAAGCCCTCCTGTTTAATCTTCAGAACCACACCCATCTGGCTTCAAACCAAATACTCCCAGCCTGGCTTTATGAGCACATCGCAGATTTGGGGTTAAAAAACACCAAAGACCGTCGGGTCGCGACCTCCAGAAACACAAGTCGGACACCTTCCGGGCTCAGAAAGGGCCCCTCGAAGAACTTGGGGCCCGTGTGAGGGGGTCACTGGATTTTTTCCTTGACCAAGCAGTTGAGCAAATTGCAGGTTCCTTACGTTATACGCCTGAAGATTGCAACTTGTAAATGGCGGTTACCAACTTTATTTTGGTGTTGAAAAAGCCATGTTTCAAGTAGTGGCAAAATGGAGATCTTTTAAGGAGCCCTGGAGAAGTTGAGCAAAGTGCAGGTGTCCATTGAAACCGACCTTTCAGGTTTCAACATGGCTCGGACACCAGTTTTTGTCGCCCACGGAGTCCCCAATCATAAACTGCCTCGAGGGGTCTATTGGGGAACCCTCTGATTCGATGGGGCCCACAAATCCAAGGAACTCACCGTGAATTGACGGGCCCATTTGGGGATGTGTATCTTTCTCCTTGTCTATGGGGACCCCCCGAATGGTTTTCGGGCTTTCTTTGGTATTCCTTTGAATACACCAAACTAAAGAAACAGGTACCGAGCCTCAAAGAAGACGAGCCACCCAATTAGCTTTGCCACTTGAACTTTACAACCCTTGGTATGGTGGCAAACAACCTATTTGCAGCCCCGAAATATAAAACTAAACATGAGCAAAAAACAAAACAACTTGATCCAAGAACTCTGCGATACCCTCTGATGCCTCAAGAACACGACACCTCGAGAATTGCAATTGGCTTCGCCTCACAAACTCGTCGAGCTTCTCGCTGGGCTGAACCTGCAGAAATATCACGGCAGTTGCCCTACCCCTACTCCAAATGCCCATTTTTTTCAAGGGTATGTTTGGAAAAAAAACCTGGGTGTCCCTGGTAATTACCCCTGTTTTAGTAGAGGGTCAACATCATACCCTAAAAAAAGAGGGTATTGGGTGAAGGGGAACTTGGATGTTCGATTCGCCAAGTTAGAGTCTGTAGTAATCGGCTAACCCAAGTTCCCGCTACAGCTTAAGGCTTGAATTCGATGCCGATGCGGAGTCTCTACCCGAAGAAAGAATGGTCATCTACCTCCCTCAAACTACCCCTTACTCCAAAGACCCGCTTTTTCTGGGTACTGTTTGAATAACCTGGTTTCCAAGGCAAATACCTCCTTTTTTAGTAGAGGGTCGACATGATACCAACTAAAAAAAGGCCGGGTATTGGGTGTAAGGGGTGCCCTGAAGAAATGGTTTTCACCAATAATTTGGGTGGGTAGTTCTTTCAGGTCCAGGTACACCAACAAAAAGGGGTCACTTGACCGTGAGGTCTCCAGGCCACGTGCGGATTTCTCAAATTGGTCCACCCCCTTGCAAAGGAATAGAGTACCCTCACGCGGGTGTGTGTCCCCCTTCTTTCTGGATTGTACCCCTTACCCACTTTTTTTAGGGTATCATGTCGACCCTCTACTAAGAAAGGAGGTATTTACCACCGAAAACCAGGTTTTATTAAAACAAATACCCTCAAAAAAGGGGTATTTGGAGTAGGGGGTAACACCCTGGAAAGCCGTATGGCCATTTCTTTTCGGACGGAACCTGTATTTCGATGGTGTTTCCCGTGTGGGAAAAGTTTTTGCTGGCCGGTGGCCGTATTTGGCCGTATGCAACCCGTATTTGTTCAGCAAATTGTTGACAGAAAACCGTACAATGACTGCATTTTGTGGCCCAAGCCGTGTGGGCAGGAACAAAAAAACGTCACACATGGGATTCCAGTAGAGAGGCTAAGACTAAGGGTACCCTTTTTCTGTAGTCTATTTTAGTAGGGGAACCCTCCCCCAAAAAAGTTGGTCAAAGGGCACTACTGGGGGACCTAGTGGGGGATCCCCAAAAAATGCACGCGCACATTGTTCTGTTCTGATGACTTTTTGCCTTCTGGAGGCCTGTTTCCCGGTCGAAGCTCCTAGAGAACCCGGTTTCGGAGTAAAACAACGGTGGATCATGCATTCCCTTGGTTGAAGTTGGAAGGGGATCAAAAAAGTCGATTTCAACCACCAAACCGCAATAAGCAAACATGTAAAATGTTTCCCAACAACAACCATGTTCCAGTGTCTTTTCCAGTGCTTCCAGGTATTTGTTTCGCCACTTTTGTGGGTCAGCCTTCAGGTTTCTATGGGTTTCCTACCTCTAGGTCTTATCATGGTTTCCCTTGGTTACCTAAATGGAAACCGGAAAGGCTGGGGTTGAGTGTGAAAGGCTGTGAAAGCCTCTTGGCGCGAAAGCTTTGAGCTTGACGTGATGGCGTGGCTTACAAGATGCGAGACACCTCACTTTTCGCGGGCATAAAACTTGCTGCTCAGGGAATGAGGGAACCCTTAACCATCTTCTGTGGTTTCCTTTCAGGCCTTTAAGGGGACCAGATCCTGGGTTCATTCCAGTCACATTCCCTACCTATCGCACCAGCACGGAAAGGTCAATGTTTGCGACCTTGACTAAGCCAGAAAGCCACTCGACTCACTTCCCATCGAGCGGATGGGCCAAAAAGGCTGAAGTCGCTCTCTTTTTGTTTTCAACCACGGGAACCGATGCCCTTTGGACAATAGGATGTTGATGGGATTGAACGATCTGGTGAAGCGGTAAAATGAACTTTGTGTGGCAGCCATTCCCGAACCCTCCCCACTCGCCATATCGCTGGCCAGGAAAAAAGAGAGACACAAACAAGCAACCAACCAAACCAACAGATTGAAAGAACAAAACAAAAACACGCGCGAAACAACCACAAAACCTCCCTTTTCTTTAATTTCCTGAAAACAAAAACCTATTTCTAGTCGTGATCGATTCCCTTGGAAGCCAGCAGGGACAAATCAAGACTCATCTCAAATGGAAGTTCAGCCGATGTGACTTTTTCATGTTGACCTTTCGCGCCCTCTTGACTTTCAATTCCCAAGAGAAGCGGACCCTCAAACTACCCGACCATACTTGGTTGACGTTGGAAGGGGAGCATTTTTCCAACTTTGGCAAGCAAAAATGTAACATGGTTCCCAACAACAACCATGCATACGTGGGTTGCCATTCACCCCTTGTTTAGAAGTTGGTAGCTCTTTCAGCTCCAGGCTTTTCTTCGGCAAATGGCAGAAAGCGGGGCCAGTTGCACGCACCACAAACAGACACCTGGACCCTCAAGGGTTGCCATTCACCCCATTTTTAAGTTGCTAGTTCTTTCAGGTCCAGGTATCCCGTTCTCCTTTCTTTGTTTTCCTCACCCCAGGGGGCAAGAAAACAATTTTCAAGACCATTTTGTGGGTCCAACGGAAAAAAAGGAAAACAAGAGGGAACAAGCAAACAAACAACAAACATGCGCGGCCGCTTTTTCATCCGTCATCCGCCTGCTGGCACAAGCGCAGCATCAGCTTCCAGCCCAGGGTCATGGAGCGATCCGAAGGGTTCTCCCGGAGCTGCTTCATCACCTGCGAGGCCGCCGACCCCGAACTCCCTTTCATCAGATCGGGCGGTTTTTCTGGTTGACCCCCCACCCCCGTAAGCTCCAAATACC